AATGCGGTTGACCGAATGTAGACAAGCGAGATGAGTTGCTAATGATTGGTGTCTTTGTTCGCCATGGCGCTGGTCAAAGCCAGATCACGGCGGATTAGAACTGCCCCTGCAAAGAGACCCGTGCAGCGTCAGTTTCTGAGCTAAATTAAGCGAATACAGTGTTCACAATGCGGTAAGAGCGAAACATCTGTCCGATTGACTGTCTGGCTAAAGAGAAACAAATTACCTGGCGTACAAACTGATATCCCGCAGTGACGTTGAACACCAGGTCGCGGAGAGGCGGGAGTTGTCTGAATCGATACCCGGACGGAAGGAATGCAACACTGGGAACCAACGGGCAGCAGCGGATTATTGTGCGTTTCAGCTGGAACGACTGTTGTACCTCTGACATGCCGGATTAAGCATCGATAATTGGGTCTATCACAATGATCACTTCCTTCCGTAAACAACATTTCATAATCCATATCAGTAAAATTCGATAACTGTGCTTATCAACTTCCATGACGGGTAAACCTCACCTCAATACAACAGAAAATCCTTGTCAAGTCTAGATAATCCGGATCAGCAGAAAACCGCCTTAACTACCTTCGTGACCTTAAAAATTATGAAAGGTCAAATTCTCAATGAAGTGCTCTCTTGGATTTGATGCTTTTGTATTTGCTGATAACGCAAGATGACCTCGATCAATTATAAGCTCCTAGAAAATTTTGGAAACCCTAGATCACTTCTGATTCGCAAAATCTGTTTGTAGCTTCATCAACAGAAGATAATCCAGATCAGCGGGAATTTACTTATCACAGGCGTTAAGTATGCCAGTAGCGCGTTAAACCGGCAATGATTTGCACTGAAGCGGTAACGGAAAACGGTCAAAATCTCAGAATGACATAATCATCACTGTACCCTCATCGAATTTGACTGGCCTACTTAACAGCAGTCATTTTCAATACCTGACTTTCTGGAAGACGACCTTTGGCTTTTCGGCAACCGAAGATTCGTTGTGTCGACGCTTTCTTCGGTCTCACCAGTCCAGCCTGCCTTGCTTAATTTGGATATTACAGTCTGAGGTCATTGAAAAGCTTGGTACGCTTTTTGTGGTCGAAACCCATGCTTTGCTTGTTCTGTAGTCCAAAGCTAGCTATCTAAATTCTAGCATCTGTCCGTCACTGTGTCACGCTTGTGGCGAAAGCTAACAAAATGGCGGCTGACAAGAAGTTTTTACACTGTCGTCGACGTTAACACTGATAGGGCTGCGGGCAACGTATTTAGTAGAGATTTGTTCGCGTTAATAGTAGGTGATAAGACGCGCTTCGCCGAAATCAACGGCACGCGAAACCTCGCCGACGACGATCAATATTCTCTCATGAAATTTGGCCCCGCGCACTCATATCCATTTTTGCCGCCGTTGGCGATTCCAGTCACCTCTCGCCCGTTGTCAGTTTGGACACAGCGATTGGTCGTTTTGTTACAATTGTTCAGCTATTGGTCGGCATGAGTTTTGTGGGCGGAGTCAGAAATCAGGACAGATCGTGACCGAACTTATTGACAACAGTAGCGTTTGCTTGGTGGACTAAGGAATGTCGTTGTCTCGTGCAGCTGTGTTCGGCTAAACTTAGCAAAAAGTTGTGCCTCGACGTTCAATTTCCTCACTTGCGAACGAGACCGGTCCTGCGCAGTTTCACGATTCTCAAAGAAAATTTACACAATTGCGCATGGCCTACAGTATGACTTTCAATGCGGCTGCAGCGGCTGCAGCGGCGAACATGACTGCCGCGGCATACCTGAAAGCGGGTCCCTACTCGATGCCGTTATCCGGCGGTGCGAATGGTTTCTGTCAGTCGATGATGCCTTTTTCGACCAGTAAGAGTCGTTATTTGTTTTTCGTCACAGCCTTTGACATAGCAAGTTCTGTCCTCCAAAGTTAACTATTTAATTTATTTTAGACTCCTTGCCACGTAAACAGAGACGGGAACGAACGACTTTCTCACGCGCTCAGCTGGACATCCTTGAAAACCTATTCCTCAAGACTCGATACCCGGACATTTTCCTTCGCGAAGAAGTGGCTCTAAAGATCGGTCTTCCAGAATCACGTGTTCAAGTATGGTGTCCAGTTCAATCAATTTTTTGCTGTTGTTAGATCAGTCTGTATTTATTACGAACAGGATCTTGTTTCCGTTTTCAGGAAACCACTGATTCATTTTGTACCTCCATTTTGCTCTTTCTCTGTTCTCTTTGAGGTTGACACCAAAAGTTACTGTTCGTGAGAGCACTTATTTTATGTCTGTTGGGGTCACCTCAATTTTTTCTATTTTCTGATATGCTGCAGAGAAACTCACGCCTTTAGACAAATCTATAAATGTAATATCTGCAGCTTCATAGCACAATGCATATGACGCAGTCTCGTGTTGTTCTGCTAATGCACCCGTATTACTTTCATTCATCTCAAAATCATAAGGAAGGCAGATTTTCAACCAAAATTCGAATCCACTATTCTTTTATTGTGTGCTCAACGCTCATCTGACAGAACTGTCGATCATGCGGATGTATCTAAATATATCTAACTTTTTACTTATCAGAGTCTGACATAGATTAATGAGGTATTGATTCCTGATTTTAAGGTTTGGTTCAAAAATCGAAGAGCAAAGGCAAGGCAGCGCGCTCAGATGAATTCTTTGGTGAAAAAAGAACCAAGCTCTCCGGTCAAGTCCTCTTCGCCATCGTCCACTAACAGTCTTGAGAACAAGAAGCCATCACGACAACTCACAATAACAACGTCCACCGCCCCTACCAACGCAGACATGGCCAACTCTACCATCGTGACAAAAGGGAACCACCTCACTCATCATCAGGAGATGATGATGGCGGCAAGCACTATTTTCAAGCAAGAACCAACGTCGTTTTACGGTTACAGTCAGATGGGGCAAAATTCGTTCCTCACCAGTCCCCAGGCAGGGGCTGCAGCGAACTTTGCATCGTCACCCATGTGGACCCCAGCCTTGCCGCAGGACACTAGTTGTTCGGTGCTTCAGCCACGAACGATGTCTGGCAATCGAATGGCCGCTTACTCCGTCAGTCCCGCACAAAATATGTATTTGACGCCCCCGTATAATACGTCATATCCGCAGCCAACTTACTACGGCAGCAGCTTTGGCCCAGTCGACTTCATGCAGCATTTCAACAACGGTCCAAACCCGGTCGCTGTTGGAATGG